CAACTGACGATAACTAACTTATACAAAGCTTGCAAGAGGTCAAACCTAACCGATGCAGCCTTACAAACAAAGTATAAGTCATGATGGATGCTCACAGACAAACCGGAGGTTGAACCTAACCGATGCAACCTTGCTCGCAGCAAAGCAAACAGAATGTACAACCCTCTTAGCAATAAAATTGTTGTAAGTATAGATGTTGTGTTTGAGCAATCAGTGAAGTGGTGCTGGGAAGCTACAGAAAATAGAGATTTTTTAGAAATCGAAGAAGAGGGGGATGGTCAATTCTTCTCTAGTGCTATGAGATATGTTGGTGAAGGTAGCACTCCTCAGGATAGTCAAGAGATAGTGGGAGCAGCTAGTGGTGGCATGCAATCTGTAGCAGGAGGCAGTCTCGGGATGGGAGCAACTGATAGTCAGTTACGGTTTAGAATCCAGCAACAAAGGCAGAGTCTGTAACACCACAAAATTTACCACAGAATTCAGGTTGGGATCATGTTAACATGGATGTTGATGACACCATTGATCATGATAGTGGACCACATAGGTTTAGAAACTTGAATGAGATCTATGATGATTCTGCGGAGGTTGAGTTGATGGATGAGAATGTTGAAGCTTTTCAAGCAGAAATTGAGGAACCATCCTGTTTCAGAGAAGCAGCAGAGAATCAGGACTGGATTGATGCAATGTACAAGGAGATGCAGTCCATTGAGAAAAATAAGACTTGGGAACTGGTTAAGCCACCTGCTGGGAAAAAGCCCATTCTCTTAAATTGGGTGTTTAAACTAAAAAGAAATTCAAAAGGAGAGGTGATAAAGCACAAAGCCTGATTGGTTGCAAAGGGGTATGTGTAGAAGCATGGTGTTGACTTTGAAGAAGTCTTTGCTCCTGTTGCCAGACTTGATATAGTGAGATTAATGTTGGGATTTGCAGCTAATCATAGTTGGAAAATACATCACCTAGATGTTAAGTCTACATTTTTGCATTGTGAATTAGAGGAGGAAGTGTATGTTTCACAGCCAGAAGGTTATACAGTGAAATGCAAAGAGCAGTGTGTACTCAAGTTGAGCAAAGCTCTTTATGGTCTTAGACAAGCTCCAAGGGCATGGAATGTCAGACTTAACAGAAGTTTGAGGAAACTAAATTTCAGGAGATGCTTGAGTGAACAAGCAGTTTACACAAGAGGAGATGGAGAGAATGCAGTCATCTTGCGTGTGTATGTAGATGATCTAATTGTGACAGGAGGCAATCTAGGAGAAATTGATCATTTCAAGAAGCAAATGATGACTGAATTTGAGATGATAGATATTGGTCTATTGTACTACTACCTTGGAATTGAGGTAGATCAAAAGGAGGATTTTATCACTGTGAAGCAATCAGGCTATGCTAAGAAGGTTCTAGTGCAGTTTGGCATTAGTGAGTGCAATTCAACTAAGTTGCCAATGGAACCTGGATGCAAGTTAAATGCTGACAAGGGAGGCAAAAGAGTGGATGCAACTGAGTACAGGAAGGCAATTGGATGTTTGAGATACCTGCTACATTCCAGACCTGATCTCTCTTACTCAGTTGGGCTAGCTAGCAAATTCTTGGAGAAGTCAACAATGATGCACGCCAATGCAGTTAAACAGATCATGAGGTACTTGAAAGGCACAATTGACTTTGGACTGGTGTATGTTCAGGGTGGGAGTGCTGGAGAGTTGGTGGGTTACACAGATAGTGATCTGGGTGAAGATGTGGTGGAGAGGAGAAGCACAGGTTGGATGGCATTCTACTTGAATGAAAATCTGATAACTTGGTGCTCTCACACATAGAAGTCTGTAGCTCTATCATCTTGTGAGTTAGAATTCATGGCAGCCACTGCTGCAGCTAAGCAGGCATTGTGGTTGAGGACTTTGATTAGTGAGATCACAAAAGAGAAACCAAAAGTAGTGACTCTCTTTGTTGATAATAACTCTGCAATTGCTTTGATGAAAAACCATGTGTTTCATGGGAGAAGCAAACATATTGATATTAAATATCACTTCATGAGAGAGTGTGTAGAGTGGAGTCAGATCATTGTGAAGAGAGTGTGCACAGATGAGCAGAAAGCAGATGCTCTGACCAAGGCACTACCAGCAGGAAAGCTGACAGTGATGAGGCACTTGTTTGGGGTTAGAGATCTTAGTGTTTGTCAGGATTAAGGGGGAGTATGTTGGTGTAATCCTGTCAACGCTGATGCTGGGAGCTGATTCAGTGAAGTGGCGAAGTGGAGCAGGCGGGAGAATACAAGTTTGAATGAAGACAGCCTGAGCAGGAACGGCAGTTCGCGGTGACCGCGCCCACTTGGTGTCAGTTTCTGAATGTGTGTTTCGGAGCGTCTTGTATCGCGTGTTTCGCAGTTTTCTTTTAATCAACTGTGTGTAATAGCTGCTGGTATAAGTAGCTGTGATGTAATAGCACAGGTTAGCGCTTTGGTTCATTTGTATCCGTCATTGTACTCAAAACTTACATCAGTGAAAAATAGCACTGCCATCCAGCAGTTGCCGTTTGTTTCTCTGTCTATTCTTGCGCATTCTTCTTCTACGCTAGCCAAATTTGATCATTGCTGTGATTTTGTGATCTTGAAATCCAACACACTAGGGCTTCGACTAAAGGTTACAGTACACCAATTGGTTGCCAATGATGACAAGGTTAAATTAAATGTACATCTTGTTAATATTGGTAGCGTCTTTCTTTCATGCAATCAAAGTGGAATCTTCAAGCTAAGGTGCTGACTACCTTCCGTCACTACTGTAGAGGAAATGCTTTGCATACCGAGAAACGTGGAAATAGTAAGTGGTGTAGTTTTCTGTTGCATCACTGACAGTGGGCCTTTGGCAAGGGTTATTATCTAGTGGTAGGTTAACAATGGCTATGTGACAAAATTATATGCTCTGTGAATATTCATAGTGCCTTACTTTCCATGCCATCAAAGACTCACCTGTATTCGTCAAAAAATGCGGGCGACAGCTGTATTCCATCGTACTGTGTGACAACTAATGCATACCAAAATAAGTACCATTTTACTTAGGAATGACTTTGCCAATTAATTGGTTTTGAAGACCAACATATACAACTATTTTTAGCTACAAATGTATATATTTACAAAAATATGCTAATGACAGCCGAACATGTGGGCTGATAACATTTTTGGCAACTTATAGTTCTATAACTAGCGGGAAGATGCCTCTCTTGATCTCTTCCAACGAACCGTGGACGTTGTCCACATAAGTCTCAGTTTTCTTTGAAATAACTAAATTGGAAACCTTAAGACTACACTGTTGACAATTAATATCTTGTGGACTATAATGCTCATGGCTAATGGTGGAGCACATTCTATACATTAGGGTGTGTTTGGTTGGGACCCTAAGCGAGGCAGATGTGGTCAGGCATCCATCTCAACTCCAGGCATGATAAATCCAATGTCTGGGAGTGATGCCTAGGCTAGGCACCTCTAGATAGTCCTCAACCAAACAAGCCCAAGGTGCAGGTAGGCTTTTTGGCTTCCCTAGTGCAGGAATTAAGTAGTTCCTCTCCATGTTTCATCAGCTTGCAGCTCCGGTTAGGTGCCCACGCATATATTGGTAGCAGATTTGTGGGGTATAGTTGTACATAAGGCCCGTGGTTGGTATCTAGTACGAAGCATGGATTTTGGCCCAGATCAAACCCGACTCAACACAGTATCCACCATGCCCAGGCCAGCTTGGCCTAGCAACCAGTGTCGTGCTTGCACTGCTGCCGATGGGGAAAGGGAGCACAAATCGGACCCTACAAATGCTCATATACATTAGGACCCAAAAAAACCGATGGGGAAAGGGAACAACACCAGATCTGCGAGGGATTACAGGTTACCTGCTCTCTTTTGCCACAAAACCCTGACGAATCAAATCTCAAACCTGCGGAAAATGGAGAGGGAGAAGAGAAAGGTTAGCCTTCGATAGAATCGAGTCTCAAACACCGTGGATGTAGAGCATGAGGAAGAGAGGATGCATCACTTGCTAGCACCAGTAGGACCTAGACGAGCAGGAAAAGGAAGACACGAGGAAGCGGGGAGAGCTAGAGGGCGAGTGCAAGGGATAGAATAGGTAGAGGGGCGGCGGTGAGGATATAACACGGATGGCGCGAAAGGGGTGGCGGTAATCCTAGCTTCTCTCACGTGGCCGCATCTCCCGCTCCATGCGGAGAGCCAAATTTTCTGGTCATCCAGCCCTCACTCGCGTCCTGCGTGAGCCAGGCCGCCAAGAAACAGAATCCATTTTCGTATCCCGGCAGCAAGGCTCGGGGGAGCACCTTGCATGCCGAGGGTCAAGCCGACGGCCCCATCCAGGCATCCAAACGCTCAAAAACTGCATCCCGGGGGCCAGGCCGGGGCAGATACAAGGAACTAAACACGCCCTTAGCATCTCACCCTGGGTTGTAAACCTTCACCTAGCTTAGCAAGAGTAGAAATTAGAGTTGTCTTGTGTTACTAATAAGTTTAGCTAATGTTTATGATTTTAGTTCAAACCAAATATCCACCTCCTCTAGTAAATCTATAACTGCCGGAGGATCGGCGTCTTCGTAGCACTCTACCTCTAAAACTGAATGGGAGAGGGACATATGGTGTTGGTCTTGCTTCTATTTCACGTGGGGATGAGGCGGTCCCGTTACCTGTTGGTGAAATCATCAGCCGACCATTTGGTCCGTGCCTTCTCTTCCATTCTCTCTCGGGCACAACACGCAGCTCACCGCTATCGGTCATCATCAGCGTGTGCGGCAAAGCCGGCAGAACAGCAGCGCAGTGAAGCTTGCATGCCTATCTAGTAGTTTACATTGTTCCTCATGAAGAATAAGTGGCGTCACACATATGAACTATTAGTTTGGTATTGAAAAATTACATCTTATGCTCATGCTGTATTTTAAATTATTCATCTATGTTTTAATTAACGAGAATGTACTTAAACTGCTATATTTTTCATGAATCTGCCACTGAAGGTGTTAATTGTTCAGTGAGTTAGGGCAGTGGTAGTGTTGCTGCCTAGCAAACCAGCCTTCTTCTTGAACTCCTTCCACTCGTTGAAGACTTCCGTGAGCTTCTCCAGCTTGGACTTGAGCCCCACGAGGCAGTTAGCATGCACCGTGCACACCTTGTTAAAATCTTTTCTGAGCTGGCAGAACCCGGTGAGGTACGCCGTTTCGACGAACTGCACCCGTATGCCGTGCTTCGCCGAAAGCGTGTCCTTCACCCTCTGGAACACGAACTGCTCGTGCGTGCGCGGATAGGACAGCCGCGCCGCGTACCAGCTCTCGTAGAACGCCACCATCCTGGCGCTCGCCTTGATGTACATGAACCCGGAGTTGGCCCACTTGTCGAGGTCGTAGGGGTTACCGTAGTACCTGTCGCACGACATGGCCAGGTCCACGCCGATGGGGATGCGCAGCAGCGGGTTCCGCAGCCAGATGATGTCCATGTCGGTGAAGACGAAGCTGTAGCCGAGCTGGAGGACCCGGGCCTGGGACAGGAACTTGCGCCACACGATCTCGAGGTAGCCCTTGGCCATGTACGACTGCTGCGCCACGTAGTCGACGCCGCCGGGTTCCAGTTGCAGGTGGTAGCAGAGCGGGTGCACGCGCTGGCACTGCTCGTATGCCTTGGCGCCGTCGGCGACGATGACCAGGTGCTTCAACAGGGGCTCCGTGCCCACGCCCTGGCGGAAGCTCTCGAGGAGGAGGTCCAGGAGCGACCCCGGCGCCGTCCATGCTTGGCTCGCGAAGGTTAGTATGACGGTCTTGTCAAGGTCGTCCATGGACGCTCGCCTCAGCAGCTCCAGGAGCTTCTCGTCACCTGGAGCTGGAGCAGAGGCCTGTTTATTAAGAGAAAAATAAAAGAAGGTAATTGATTAAACCTATGAAGGTAATGAATCCAGTGTAGATGATCGACCAATTGGAGATGAACGTAACACAGGTCGGAATAAATTTTGGAGACAAATGTGCACATACCGTGGCAGGTTTTTTGGTGCTGGGATCAGCGTGTGTTCTGTTAATACTCCTACCCAAGATGAGCTCTTGCTCTGCCGGCAAGAGGCTGCGGGGGCACGGAACATGCAGCAGGAGCAGGCCGAAGCAGGCCGCGGCGGTAGCTACCCCGCACAAGAAAGTCAAGAAAACCCCAGTGGTGTTCATCTTCATCTCTTTTTTTTTAACGTAAGTGTTCGTCTTCATCTCGAAGACAAAGACCAATCGAGCTTGGCTACACGCGCTAGCTGCGTAGTGAGTGAAATAGTGGCATGCATGCTAGCATAGCGGCACACTCGCTCATCTTATGGCCGTTGCTCACACCAAGATTCCAGATCAAGCTACCGAAAAAATCTGAATTGGTGCTTTGAAAAATAAGTTCCGCAGGATGATGACTTTAGTTAGAGAAACCTAGAGAGTCAGCAAGCACAAGCCCCATCGTGGCAGGCCCTTAAACAATGGCATTCTTTCATACATAACTTGCCCTTAGACATTTTATCATATGAGTCACAAGTACCCAGCTTATTTATCTTACTGCCTTCAAGAATGAAAGCATGGAGATCTTTTGTCTGAAAAAAAAATATTCAACAATAATGCTCATTAAACTTTAAAATCTTTATGTTCTATTCTATATCACCATTGGGCAGAAATAGAATAAAACATCATTCTTCTACATTAATTCCACATCACCGTTGGGTAGAAATGGAATTAACGTATAGAAATTCAATAATCTTAAAACATAGAACTGCTCCTCAAAATTAAATTCTCCCATTGGTTCGAATTTAATTAGAAGACAATCAACTTCATTGCAGCGGAAACATGAAAATACATTTCTCTAGTTTAAGAGCATTCCTTGATCTTTATCTATTCTCTGAAAAATTGGTCACTTTGATGCAAAATTCATCAGAGATTTAAACTTTAAACATAGAACTCATAGAATTATAATATTGTTATCATCAACATTGGTAAGAAAATAACAATACCATAATTTAACTTTAACTATCAACCGACTATTCCTCCAATTAAAATTTTTCCGTTGGTTCCAATTTTAACTGAAGGATTAACTTTTCATCATTTACTGAATAACTATAACTGTTCTTCAAATTAAATTCTCCGGTTGGTTCGAATTTAATGAGAAGATAATAAACTTTAACTTCGCAACGGAAAAAAGAACTTATTTTCTTGAATTTTACCCATAGGGAAAATTACTTTTTTCTATTTTCTTTTTGAGCCAATTTCCATTTTTCAATTTTCTGGAAAAAGAAAAATGCGAAAATCGGCTCGCGGGCTCATTGTGACAATCTTGGCCCAAAAACCAGCAAAAGCCGGCTCGGCCCACCTCTTCGCGCGCACCCAGGCCGCAACGTGGGCCTAGGCCGGCAAAGCTCCGCGCGCCCGCCTGGGCCGCGACGCTGGCCCGTTCAATCTCGGCCATCCGTCCAGATCCGACGGTGACCTGCGCGTTTCGCTCGGAATAAAAACCCGCCGCCACGCGCTCCCGAGGAAACCCTAACCTCATTCTTTCAGCCCTCTTCGCTTCACTCCGCTCTCTCTTCTCTCCTCAGTACCGCAGCACCGAGCGACGAGCAGGAGAGGCAATGGAGCAACGGCGCCGTCGCCGCCCCCCTCGCCGGTGTGCGCGCTCCCCAGCGGGTGAGCGCGCTCCCCAGCGGGTGAGCGCGCCGCCGTCGAGTGGCCTAGCCGCGGCGCCCCTTTGGCCGGAGCCTGGCGAGCAGAGCCCCCGGCTCGGCCCTCTTTTCCCCACGCGCCCTTCTGCACAACGGCGAGGTAGTCCCTCTGGGTTTCCCTCTTCCCCTTTTCCCTTTCTTTGGTTCTTGTTGCTCTTCTCGGTTTTGACCGATTTGGATGGGATTAGGGTTTAACTGTGTTAGGGTTAGGGTTTCGGGATACCATTGTTTATCTTCTCCAAAGGGACTCTACCGTTTTAGGGTTTGGCATAGACGTGAAACCGAGCCCTCCAGCTTCTTTCTTTAACCCAGTTAGGGTTAGGGTTCAACCGAACCCTCTTCTTTTCTCATTTGCTTAACCCAGTTAGGGTTAGGGTTCAACCGAACCCTCTTCTTGTTAGAGCCGCACTGGATCTAACTTTCTTATCCTTTTCTAATCGTTTACCGTTCTAGATCTAAAACCCTAGAACAACCGTGGTGGTGGTCATGGTGGTGATGTGGTTGTGGTGGTGGTGGTGGTGGTGGTGGTGAAGTGTTGGTGGTGAAGTGTTGGTGATGTGGTGGTGGTGGTGGTAGTGGTGGATATTTATCTTGCATATTTATCTCTTCTCTTGTCGCTCACGTGCAATCTCTTCTATTTTGTGCAGCATCAATCGGGGCGGCGTCAAACCACCTTGGAGGGTCGCCGGGATCGCACGTTGGGCCATCCCAACCCGGACCGTCGCCGTGAGCTTCAAATGGCAGCCGTTGTGATATAATGCACTTGTGAACTTTGTGAACTATGCTTGTGTGTTTGGACTTTGGACTTGGGAGTCGAGATTATGATACTTGTATGCTATGTTTGTGTTTGTGGTTGATTGTGATATACATTTGTATTATATATATATTTATGTGATATATAGTTATGTTATATATATATATGATGTATATCTTGTTTGCAACGATGGAAGACTAAAAACCAAAAAAAAATTGAATTTTTTCACTTCTTTGCCGAGTGTCATGACCATCACTCGGCAAAGCTGGAAATCTAGGACACTAAGCTTCCTAGCTTTGCCGAGTGCCATGATCAAGGCACTCGACAAAGAAAATTAAAAAAAACTGCTTTGCCGAGTGCCTACCTACAGCTCTCGGCAAAGAAAATCCAAAAAAGAAAGAAAACAAGCTTTGCCGAGTGCCAAAGCATTTAAAAAAAATAAAAAACACATTTTTTTGCCGAGTGCCGACGCGTGACACTCGGCAAATGGGCCGTCACCGTGACCTGGCCGTCATTGCGGCTTTTCTTTGCCGAGTGTCGTCGTGGCACTCAGGAAATCCTTTGCCGAGTGTCCGACATGCGGCACTCGGCAAAGAAGCCTTTGCCGTGAAGGGATATGCCGATAGCTCTTTGCCGAGTGCAAAGCCTTCTTTGCCGAGTGCAATTGCACTCGGCAAAGCACACGTCTACTGTAGTGTCGGTGCTCTGAAGAAGCAATTCAGGCAGCATTAGATGGCGCTTGCCGGTCGGTACTCTCCTTGTGTCCTTGTTCCTTTTTCACCCGTGCATCAGTCAGTACTACAAAAAAAACTTTTTTACATATACTAATTGGTGGTGTAAGAGTGTTGTCTGAAATCATCTTAAAATTCAAGCACCTGAAATATAGGAGAAGTGCTTAATTATTATTGCATGCTCTTCCCCAAAAAAGTATTAGTGTATGCAATCTGGATCTCAAATTATAACGCATGCCAAGTTGATGCCAGAGGACCCTCTATACATGCATCATGCATGGCCCTCTAACCAATAATATGACCTTGATGAATGCGTTTTTCCACATCACAAGCTACCCATCTCGGTCAAATGAACTGACGCGAATTGAACGGCATCTTGTTGTGCATTAATACTTTTTTTTAGATAATGTGTTGCACATTAATATTACCTCTATCCAAATTTAGGTGCGTTTCTTATTAGCGTGTCTCTAAAGTTTATTGATATAATTTTTATCCTCATGATTTGCCACATAGGCACTTAGCAACGTTTAATGAAGAATTATATATATATTTTTTGAAAATCAGACTCTTGACCCAATGCACCAAGAAACCATCAATCATTGGGGAGATGTTCGTTTCTAGGGAGCTCGTGTCGTGACTCTCATTGGAGGAAGAAGATAAGAGAGATTTTCAGCGTAGAAACCATGGGTTGGAAAGCAGTACTTTTTGGTGTGGTATCCTATGTTATAGAAATTACTAGTTTTTTTCGTTGGGACTGCCCTTAGCGTGTCTCTAAAGTTTGCTATATTTTAACATGGTACTTTGTTAGAATTATCTGCGTAGAGAGAAACAAAGGAGTAAGTTGCCTTGTCTTTTTCCTAAACGAGCGTGAAATACACTTTGCACGCCACCATGTTATACACTGCTGTATAGTAAAAAGCTTGCATCCGACTAGTCGTCTTTATGCTTATAAGGAGAGCTAACTAGCTGACTAACTTTAATTATGAATTTTTTTGGAAAAAAAAACCTTAACCTTTCTTTCAAAACACGATACAGACGCATTAGGGGCTCATATGTGTAGACGTACGTACACTCGACGCTCCTGTAAACACGCGCGCACTGTACTAGCGCCTCGTTCTAAGGTACTATAAACCATTCATTAGTCTTTGAGACTGACCAAGCAAAAGGGTACGCTATTTTGACATGACATGCATGTCACGTACTTCCTCCTGTCCCTTTTTAAATGTCATCTAGGCATTGGTGCTGATCAAATTTTTTTAATTTTGACATTTATATCTCTACATATACATCAAATTTATTAAAAATAATTAATGACATTTTTTACCAAATTTTGGCTGAACACCCTCACGAACACTATTCATCAACCAGCCGCTACAGTCTCTAAACCAGCCAGAGTTTCATAGTGTATTATAAATGTATTTATCTAAAAATAATCTATTTGGTATAATTGTAACCGTTGACTTTAGGCTCAAAATGTTAAGTCTCAAAAAAGTACAACCAAACTGTGCAATTAGTATTTCATATTCCATGCATGTATTTGATGTGAGTAATCTTCTTTTTATAGTGTCATTGGGAGTTTGGTTGCTCTTGGGTACTTTTGACTCATCGATATGTGTGAACAATACTTAAAAAAAGAATAGAGGGAGTACTCCGCTAGAATAATTAGATCATTCTCAGAGAAGAGTTTTAAAAATACCATATTAGATAAAAAAATAAAAAATAAATGAAACAACCCAATGCATAGTTTCATTCTAGTATTTTATAAATATTTAATTTCATAATTCATCTAGAGTCAGAAATCGAGCCCATGAAACTCAATTCTTCTTTCTTTTTAAAAACATTAACACATGTTCAAAAATACATATATGTGCCAATCGATTAAATTGCATAAGAAACCCAAATGAAACTCCCTAACAGAAAATACGAACATCCGTGCCCAGTCAGAGTCAAATGAAGGGTATGTAGCATGGGCAGGTTTCCACCAAGTTCAGCAGGCAAATC